TTTTTTTTTTCGTGTACGTTATCGGTGAAGACGACGTTCTCCACCGTGACGGAAGTCTCTCTCTCTTTCGGCTACAACGCGATCTCACAGTGTACTAAGATCCTCTCTCGTGTCACCAATCTTTTTTCTATGGGCAATATGCCTGCATATTTGTTATGTATCATCGGCAGTTATCTTATCGATGGCCCGACCAATGGTCGGTACTGCTTTTTCGTCTCCTGATAAGCCAGGGGAATATTCTCCCCGCCGTTACTCTGGAGGTTCCCTCGCCGATTAGGCACAGTTAATCGCCGCCTCGCATACTTACATAAGTAATTACATCTACGTGCGATAAGCAGCGTGACTGATACACACATGTAGTGAAAAATTTCCGATTACGTTGAACTGTTACGAATTTCTGTTCGGTCACATCTGGACGTGCAAGGTTTGAGCATCCTAGGTTCGTTTCTTTTCTTCAAAGATAATCTCTTACATCGTGCAGCGGGTGAGAGAGTGATTATAATGACACGTTTAGTCTCAAACGTCTCTGAAAATATTGAAGAACTCGATCCAATCGTGGTTTTTGAAAACTTCACGTGGCTTCAGATGATCTTTCCAATGGCCCCTTGTTGCGTGAACCGTTTCTTTGCCATTTTATTGAACTCTGAACGTTAGTGTTGAACGTGAAAAAATGTTCACAGGACAATTCGAAGGAATGGCTTCGGTGAAGGAAGTACTCTGAAGTTCTTTTATCAAGTTCCTTTTTTCTCTAATTTTCTCAAGCAGATTTTATTGGTACTTTACTATGAGAAACTGTATTTCTTTCTTGAATTTATTGAATAGTTACAGAGATGATTGCGGGTGAACTAAAAATGAGACGCTACTGCTGAATTTCATTTACATTATTTACACGAGCACGTGCGTGACAACGTAATCGTCAGCTACTGCTTATCTACTGTTTTGTATAAACACATCACGATGATCAAAACAGTCTGTATAACAGGTAGTCGAAAAGATAGGTGTACTAATTATAATACATATATCATAATACATACATATATATCATGTATATTGTATAAAGTATATACGATACAGTACATATATCAATACATTAATTTTATAATAATTTTATAATAAATTTTATAATAATTTTTATAATAATTTTATAACAAAATTTTTATAATTAATTTAATTTTTATAATAATTTTATAATAATTTTATTAAAATAATTTTTATAGTAATAATATAATATGAAATAAATTTTTATAATAATTTTATAATAATTTTTTAATTTTATAATAATTTTCACGATAAGGAAAGTCACTTTGGATGAGCTTAACCTTGACGTACTGCTCCCTTGCGAAAGTGTCACGATTCAAAAAATTTTCGAGATTATAAAAATCTCCATAATTTGGCTGAATTCTTTTACTTTATGTGACACTGTCCTCTATTCTATAAATAATTCTTGCTATGAATTTTTGTCCCGACTATCATTGTGAACAAACGCGCATTGATAAGATAAGAGGTGTATCACCGTGAATTGCGTTGTTTCTCTAATCGATTTATATAAAATTAATTTCTCTTTTTAATCGATTTATAAAATTAAAATTATATTCTTTAGTTGAATTAATTTCAAAAAATAATATCACATTTTGTTCAAAACCAGTTCTTCGTTTTTCAAAGGAGCGACATGTTATCAAGGGTACATTTCTGAGCAATCTTCAGGTTTTACCTGTCGTTCATTATACCTCAAAATGTTATTGACAAAAATTCCTTAAAAGGTTATTAACAAATGTCACAATGAGTATTCAATTTTTTATTGAAACTTGACGATTTACTTTGGGAATTTTTCTTCTTGCCATCATGCAGAAGCAGGAAATATTATAAAAGCAATAAGAATTGAAAAGAAAAGAATATCAATAAGATTAAGCAAGTTAAAATTTTATTATGTGACGTTTGTTATTAGATTCATTGTGCTGATGATTGTGAAATGTTTATTATTGTTATATATTATTAAAAAGAAAAGCACTAAGAGACAGAGGAAATTTGAACACTATATTTAATAAAAATAATCTGTCGAAAGTTTCAAGGTTGATCTTTGCAAAAATGAGGCCTCGAACGAAAAAAAATTTTATTTCTTTTTGCATGATCACTTCCTGGCTTCTGTTTTCCATGAACGGCTATGTATACAGTATATAAATAAATGTTATGTAGATTTTGGGATGTGAAGAGGAGAACAAAGACACGATTTCCCAAACCTGTCGTACAATAATACGACTCACCCCGATTTTATCTTGTAGTTTTCACCTAAACAGAGATACAAATGTTTGAAATTATTGTTCTGTTTCTTTGTTCGCCACGTGACCAGTCATCAGGGCGTTCGATGAACTTAGAGACTTTAATCTGTGATTTTTTCATTTTCTATTGTTGTAACTTGTTAACACGTTCCAGACGATAAAAAGATTTTCCATTTTATTAATTCTTTTGATTGTTTAATGCGTTTAGCAAAATATTATATAGATAATAGGTTTACTTATTGGAGGTTCAAAGATAATAATATATAGAATAAACACGTAGGTATGTCAAAAGTTGTATATATTTAATCCCGCTACATATTTTTATATTTCAACCTTTTTTAGGAGTTATTTTAGGAAATAAAATTATATTTAGGAAATAAAGTTATTTTAGGAAGTAAAATTATAAAATTATAAAATAAAAAATAAAAAATAAAATTATAACATTATAAAATAAAAAATAAATTATAAATAAAAATATAAAATATAAATAAAATTATAAATAAAAATATAAAATATAAATAAAATTATAAATAAAAATATAAAATATAAATAAAATTATAAATAAAAATATAAAATATAAATAAAATTATAAATAAAAATATAAAATATAAATAAAATTATAAATAAAAATATAAAATATAAATAAAATTATAAATAAAAATATAAAATATAAATAAAATTATAAATAAAAATGTAAAATATAAATAAAATTATAAAATAAATAATAAAACTATAAAATTTATAAAATGTCAAAAAGATTTTTAATACAAAATTCAACCGAGGAAACTTCAAACTTGAGATACTTTTTTAATATTAGAGAGACATAAGCGGATCGCAAATGGCTGATAGAAAGCAGCAAGTTTAAAATTATATGATATTAAATTAAACTTCTGGCAATTTTCAGACACTCAAAGAATCAAACGTATTTTGAAACACTTTAATAACATTACATGACAGTAAAAACACAATGACGTGTCGTGGAATTTATATTGACAATGATAATACACAGTCAATATCATAAATGTAAGGAAAAGAAAAAAATTTCTTTGTTCAAGAAGTAAGGTTGAAAAGTCCATTAGAACCCTAATGGAATAGTGTTAATGGAATGTGATAATCGAAGGAGATAAATTGCCGGAAATTGTATCGAATTCGTTGTACCGATTTCATTCGCTTTGATGTATTATGTCGCTTTAATGTCAAATTCAACACTTCTGAGTAATTTCACTTAAAGCTATTATCTTCCAGTTCGTGTAACATGATGTTCGGATATTAAGATATTAAGATATTCGATGTAATGGAGATTGAAATATAATGCAGAATAAAGCAGGTTGATACCTAAAGCAGCTTGACGTCAAGTGGATAATTCGAAATTCCTTCAGAATCAGATAACACGAGCTAATTGTGCAGTTTAATGCCAATATCCAATTTTCACTGTTTCATGCTATTTTTCTTTTTTTAAGAAGCGAAAAGATCTGTCAAAATTCACTTAATAAATTCAACATTCTTTTGAATCAAGTTGAAGAAACATCAATTGCTTCGAGTTATATAGTGTTAATATGTTTGTTTAATATGTTTGTAGTATATTTGATATAATATATTAAACTTATATTATACTTTATTTAAATAATAAAGTATAATATAATATAAATATAATATAAAATAATTTAAATTTATTTAAATAATAAAGTATAATATAATATAAATATAATATAAAATAATTTAAATTTATTTAAATAATAAAGTATAATATAATATAAATATAATATAAAATAATTTAAATTTATTTAAATAATAAAGTATAATATAATATAAATATAATATAAAATAATTTAAATTTATTTAAATAATAAAGTATAATATACTATATTAAATAATATTATAGATTTCAATTATAATATATGTCGTCTTGTTAATTGTTAAATTAAAAGACATAAAACCAATGTGTGACAAAACACGTGATAACGCTATCATTTAATATTCATGTAATTAAATGACAGATAAAAACACGATTATATCATATTTAATCAAATCAGTTAGGTTGAACTCTTTGATGCTCGTACTATGTACATACGTTTGTTTCTTCTACAATTTACGTATCTTGAATATATGGTATGTTTTACATTCATAAAAATTCAATTTGAGATATTTGTTAACGTAATTTGACTGAAATTAATTAATCGACTTAGTAAAATAGATTAGACGCACGAGCAAACGAGAAATCTCTCAGAAGAGAATAAATTTCTCGAGAACGAATATCTCGAACTTATTTTTTCTCTTTTCTTCCAAAAGTATAATTTACAAAGTCTTTTTGGAATTTATTTCATAATATAAGGAACACGTTTGCATTAAAAATTTTTAATTAAGTTCAATTAACTCATTTCTGGCCTTGACAGCGCAATGACTTCATTATTGTGAAAAATGGTTCCTCGAAATTTTTAAACTGATGTTTTTCTTTTTCTGATATCAATGTTGTACTAATCTACCGTATTAATTGCATCGAATTTGAAATGAAAATTTCTGCTCGATTATTTCGAAAGTGCGCAATTGAATTTTGTACTTCAATTTAAAAATAACTCTTCCGTAATCAAATGTACACATAGCATCAAGTCACTGACGTTTACGGAGATGTGAAGATTCAATTTTATCATTAAGAATCATTGGATTAAAGTAAAAAATTGAACTTTGAATTCATCCGGAAAAAAACATTTGCAATTCACTCTTAGCAATAAACTCAGAGGGATTTTTTTCATTTTATTAGCTAAGGTGTCATTTTAGGTTTATCTCTAGATTAACCTACGTATGTGCTCTTGACGTTGGAAAACAATTAACGCTTACTTTGATAAAGAATCTCAAAACAACGCGAACGTTAGAGATAAAATGTTTGACAACGCTCTTCTCAACGTGATTCATTCAATTGAGGAAATACAAAATTTCTAACGAAGTTAGAAGTAATAAAAGAAACAAAAATCTGTCTATTACATGCACTTAGCATTATTTCCTTTCAGATAACGTTTCAGAAAATGTTGCATGGTTTTTTTCTTAATGACGCTATAACACGATCATATTGAATTATCTTTACAATTGATTTCGCTTTTGCGATAACAGTGATATTAATTAACAAATTCTCTTTATAGCTCTTGGCTTTTAAATGTTTATTGCACGATCGTGTCACAATAAGAATCGATAAAATAAGAATTGTAAGATTAAAAATGATTGAAAGGTTTGAGAAAAAAATCTTTTCACCTTTTTAACTAATGAAAAAGTTTATTAATTTAATTGATTATTGTTACTAAATTATTAAATCGTCATTTAATTAATTCATTTACTTAATTCGTTTAATTCAATTAAAAATTTTTATTTTATATAGAAGATTTCCACAAAAGTTTGCACGAAAAATCAATTAACTGTAGCTACAATTAATTTAAAAAATATAATTACTTTAGAAATTAATTGATTTCTTGTCGCTTTTTTTGGAGAAAGTTATTTTTAAAAAACTCTGAAGGATAAGAAAGCGGTATTTAAATTTATGCTAGTCTTCACTTAAATAAATTTATTAAATTTATTATTAAAATTAATTATTTTAAAATTTATTATTAAAATTAATTATTTTAAAATTTATTACTAAAATTATTTTTAAATTTATTGTTACAATTATTATTTTATAATTTATTATTAAAATTATTATTTAGATTATTATTAAAATTATTATTTTAAAATTATTATTTAGATTATTATTAAAATTATTATTTTAAAATTATTATTTAGATTATTATTAGAATTATTATTTTAAAATTATTATTAAAATTAAATTAATTAAATTTATTATTAAAATTATATTCATATTATATATCACATTATATTATATCTATATCATATCCTTCTAAATTATATTTCTATCTATATTATTTATTAACTTAGTATTATTCGCGTTGAAGCAACATTTCTTGCTTGATCATTTCTTCCCTCTTTTTTTTTATTATCAAGATAACGCAAAAATACAAAAATCCAACTTCAGCTGGAAAAAGCGATGGATTTATAATCTTTTTAATCTACACGTAACATGCACATATGAGGATTCGTTATACATTACTGGCAATAAAAATATTATCAAATTGGAATTAACTTGTCTACCTAATCCTGTCTATTTTTTCCAAATAAGATTATCGAAAAACAATTTCTGATCTCTCCTCGTTGCGAGAAACAAACGGACACATCGTTCGTAAACGTTTCCATGCAATCGTTCACACTGTAATACATACAAATTATTTGTTGTTAAAATGATCGTTGGTTAGTACGTTACGTCGTTGATAAAATGTCTTTTGTACAATCTTTTACAGGTTCCTTTGTAACTGAGTGTTGTGTAAATATTTAAATTCTGATAGAACTTTATCGAGTTCTACATTCCACTTTACTACATATTGTCAGAGTGATCGTTAAATAATAATGATGCAAAATTGTGCGGAAGAATTTTTGGGATGACCGTTCATGAATTTTTCATAAATGATATATCGTACTTTCCATTCCAATTTTTCTTTGGTATGTAATATTTACATTCTGCTCGTCGCTGATTCTAGTGTTTAATTATTCATTGCATAAATTTTGCATTACGCGTCGTCTTTAGATTGATAACATCTGTTTAACGACTCTTACTCAGAGTTGTGCTAATTGAATTGCAGTGTAATTGAATTTTTTATTTTATATACGTAATCTTTTATTTTTTGATGTTATCATTCGACATTAAGTTAGATTAGTTTAAATTACGTTCGTAAATATATAAATTTATGTATTTAGTTACTTCTGATGTCAATTAATATATTTTTATTTTCAGTTTGTCCTACAACATGTTATACTTGCAAAATTGAACGTTTCGTTTAAAAATCTCATTTGAGATTTGTAGGTAAATTTTATCAGAATTTGTGATTAATAGTTAGAAGAACTTTTTATAGAATTTTTTTATAGAATTATCAAAGTGTAATGTTAAATAAAAAAAAAAAGAAACGTAGTGTAATATGTTTTATTATGATATTACGAATATATTATAAAAATGTTGATAAGTTGCATTTAATCAGAATTTCAATGAGAAGAAATCGAATGTTCGAATTAACAGACACTTTCTCGACTGTTAATATAACTATCATCTTCGACAAACCAAATGATAAATGTTCTACTCTCTGGCAAGTTGAAAATACGAATAATGTAAGAGATCAACCTGTGCTCTCTATTGTTCGAAAACGTACAGTTGTTCTGGACTTTCACAAAAAATAGGAGATGACACAATGAAAGCTTTCTATATTTGTTTCAAAACTGGAAAAATTAAATTTCATGCCTATCTGTAAAAATACACACGCGATTGAAAAGTCTACATTGAATATTAGAAAATAAAAAAGCATTCGTAAATTTTGACGACGTTCTTCCGTATTTTCACGAATTTTGATATTAATATTTTGATATTATATAATTTTATTATTAATTTGATCAATTAATAATTTGATATTATGTAATTTTGATATTAAAATTTCGATAGTTTGTGAAATATGACGTATGTAGGTACGTAAGATGCAATGCAATATTCTTGAATTTTCACACGACGAAATATTCTTTTTTTCAATGAAAATGAAAGCATTTAATTGGTAAGCAATTGATTGAACATTTGATCAAAGATGTGGTCAGAAAGCGAAAAAAAATTAAAAGATTAGTCCTCTTTATTTTTTTTTTTCGTTCTCTTTATTATATATCTATATTTACATACATACATACAGTTACAGCTTACAATTTTACAAAGCTTATAAGGTTATAAACGTGAACTGGGATTTTAAATAGACGTTAGTATAATAAAATGCATAAATGCAGTAGAAATGCATAACGCGTGTTAAAAACATCTGTCGCTGCCGAAGTACTTGTGACTTTGTGAAATTACCAATTTATTTCTCACGTTACGACCTATTATTAATTTCATTTTTCGTTATACCTGTAGACTAGCGAACGAGCATAAGTCAAAATTCTTACTTTTGCAAAAAGGCACTTGCGACGTTTACAGTTCAAAGTGACAACAACGTAAGAGATCAGATGCCAGATTTTAGACGATTTTGAAAGATAAAAGTATGAAAATTAGACAACGATTTTTATAGAAATTCGTAGTTTCGAGAATGTCATTTGATAATTAGAATCTTGATAGAAAATTGTTTCACACGTACATTAAATTTTGTTTTAGAAACACATCTCGTCACTTTGCATGTTTTACACTTAAATATTTCTCATAAATGTGTAAAAATACCACGGTCTATTGGCAACAATTTATTTCATCTCGTTGTATTTACAAAATGCACGTTATCTGTTTGAAAATATTTTAACTCAGTATTATTTCTTATAAATTGGGCCAAATCGCTTTATTCGATTATTAGAATCGTATACGATTATAAAAATACATATCAAACGATGGATCGGTATACTGCATCTTTCTTTCTCACTATTCTCCCATTTCACGATCAGATGAACCCATTCTAACGCAGAATGATCATCCACCATTCGTTTTTAATACTTTATCGCATTTCTACGCGTGTTGCACGCTCGATGAATCAGTTCAGAACACATTCCAGCGAAAGTTCAACGAAACGAATTTCTGTTTTAGTACAATCTGGTGACGAGTATCGAGAGTGCAAGGAGCAACGACGCAAACGTGAACGAACTTGCGGAGGAGGAGAAATTGTATATCCAGGTTTCGACCTTATTTTGATGAAGGTCGATCCAATTTAAGTTTGCCAACGCCTTCGTTGAGACACTTGTAACAGACTCAACTTTCACGCCATCCAATTTCGTCAAAATTTCGTTCAACTGTTGGACAACAAAAAATAATTATATTATTATGTTATTAATTGTTGATTATAACAATATATTAATAGAATGATAATATATTGTTGATTGATAATGTTATATTATTATATTATTAATTTTTGATTAATAATATGTTATATTATTGTATTATATTATTAATTCCTGATTAATAATATATTATTAGAATAATAATATATTGCTAATTAATAATATGTCACATTATTATATTATACTATTAATTCCTGATTAATAATATATTATTAGAATAATAATATATTGCTAATTAATAATATGTTATATTATTATATTATATTATTAATTCTTGATTAATAATATATTATTATCAGAATAATATATATGAATGATATATATTATTAGAATAATAATATATTGTTAATTAATAATATATTATATTACTATATTATTAATTTTTGATTAATAATATATTAGAATAATAATATGTTTATTAGAATGGTAATATATAATAATCTAATTTATTAGAATAGTAATATATTATATCATTAATTGTTAAAGGAACGAAAAATTCGTTGAAAATGATATTGATTGATCAAATGTATAAATAAACTCGTTCGCTGCATAAAGCTGTGGTATTTTTAAAATGGTTCGACTAGGATAAATGTAGATAAATAGATCGTACTGTAAAATGAAAATTACTCTTTCATTGACATACATGCAATTGCTTGCGAAAGTACTTGAACACGTACAGAAACATTTTTGTGAATATATTATCTGCGTTGTGTAAGAACATTTTAAAATTTTGTTAACACTGTAGTAAAATTTGACTGTTATATCAGGTTTAACATAAATTTAGAAATAATCTCTGTATATATTACAAATTTTACACTAATTACAAAAGACTTAACAGTTGCTATTTATTACTATATTAATAAATCTTAATACTCTAGGATCATATCAAATATGGTTTCTAATATTTATCACTTGTTATTTATATCAAGTTTGTATTAAATATTAACAATTGTTAGGACAAAATGTTCTACATACAAACCATTGTAATTGAAGTGACAATAATTAAAACAAACATTTGTACAATTATGTTTCTACTTAGAAAGTAATCAATATTAATTTTGAAAAGAAATATCCGTATCTTTCGAGCAATTGTAAAAGAAAAAGGAAATCTGTCATATTGACAGATTTGATTGTTTCAAAGTTGTGCAGGGGCAAGAATTATAGTGGTATACGTCACTCTGAAATTATATTTCTCCAACGAAATATTCTCCATTTCTCAGTAACAGATCAAATCGCTTGACAATAATTGGCCGTTAAACGAGTCTTCGACGTAACTAAATCAAGTTAATAAAAATTCGGACTTACACCACTGCGATTCTCAGCCCATATATATACATATTTCAACGAAACGCTACAGTACCTGTCTCAATTGTCCTATAGTAGTAACTGCGCTCGCGATGGAGTTCACGGCCGACACGATCACCTGATTGCCATTCTTCCTGAAATCAAAAAGAGAAAAAGAAAAAAAATTGGACCAATCGCAACGATTACCACCAATAACATTCTAACGTTAAAACAAATAACAATTGTTCGTTAATTACCCTGACTTGATGCGTGCAAAGTTGGCAGCCAGTACTCTCAGAGCGATGTTGGCACCTTGCGGATGTCGAGATATCACATGCGAGGTGGCACTCGAGAACGACAATGTTGCATTCTCCGGGATAGACAGGATCAAAAATTGTTCCAAAATTTTCTCCGACTGGCTGCAAGCCAGCAGGGGGTACAAATCCAATCTCTCCTCCGTGTTCTCTATTTTCAACACTAGCGAGCGCGTCTGGTTCCATACACTATCGCTGGCATTTCTTATTCCAGCGCAGAGAATGCTGGTCTTCAAATCGTTGTTCAATCTTTAAATAAAAATAATAATTTCTTAATGCAACACGTTAAGACTTTTTTTTACTTTCGTTGTAATTGGCACGTGTTGTATTTACACAACAAGGATTGAAAAATTTGTAAAAAATCTTTCGCGGAAAAATGTAAAATTGTATCATTTTAGTGATTTACGTGCCAATTTCTTATTCCAGCTCAGAGAACGCTGGTCTTCAAATCGTTGTTCAATCTTTAAATAAAAATAATAATTTCTTAATGCAACACGTTAAGACTTTTTTTACTTTCGT